GGGGGAGGGGGGGGGGAGGGGGGGGGGGGGGGGGAGAGGGGAGGAGGTGACAAAGGTTCTCTCTCTGTCTCTGCTGTTTCTTCGTTCCTCACTGTAAAGTACCCCATGTTGTGGCAGTTAAGAAGAAACTACCCCTCCACCCTCGCTGCCAAACACTTAAACCTTCGGCCACTGTTTTTGTGTCTTTCTTGTATTTGCGATCTTTGTCTCCTCATTCTTTGCCTGCGTCCCTTTAACACCCCCCTCCAAAAAAAATCAATCAGAAACACAGTCCTCACCCCACAGTGTGAGAAACAAATGAAGTGAAAGTGCGAGAGAAAAAAAACGTCAGTGTTTTCTGAGCTGAAATGTTGTGGATGAGTCAGAATCTCTCTCTCTGTTGTTGCTGGGCTGGAGGCTAGCTGGAGGGTGGGGGCGCGGGGTCAGGGTTGTGACAGACAAGCAGCCAATCATAGTCGAGTTTACCTGTGAGTGCGAGAAGAGAAGTGTTAGCTTGTCAAAGCTGCTGAGTGACGAACTTTTGAGTTCATGGTGTCGTCTGCATATCGGCTGACTTCAGTTTTTTCAGGAGTTTCCATGAGATTTGGGCAGTTTTGTTACTGAACGCCAACAGGTCAAAGTGTTTGTTCCCTTCAGTCCCATGATTGGGTCGTATTCTCTGAGTGCAGAAAGCAACAACACTGTAAAAGTGTTAAAAAAACAGTTCTGTATTTTGTGACTCAGCCGAGGCGTTGGTGCGTTTGAATGTCTGTTTAGAAGATAATACATTTCTCCTCCTTTTGGCCAGCAGGAGGATGAGGAAGGGGCTGAGGGGCGTGTCCACAGTGTAGTACATTTCACCTGTACTGTACAGGTACAGTACAGCTTGTGTAGTATTTACACAAAGTTGTTGGTGTTCTTACAAACGTTGTGGTGTCATCAGCGTATGTGAGAACATGAGTTTGAGCTGTAGGATACTGACGCACTGTTTTGGATACTAGGAGCTGTAGGATACTGACGCACTGTTTTAGTTCGACGCTGGTACTCACAAACGGCAGTTCTATAAAAACAGTTCTGTACAGACAGTACCAATCAGGAAACTGTTGGCACTGAGCTCTTCCCTCATTGGTCCTGCATTCCCTGATAGTCCTACCTCTGGAACAGGAACTGTTTGGCCTCCAATAGATTCGATACTTCCATTAAGTTCCTGGTCCCTGTTTTGAAAACATACATAGTTCCTGGTACTGTCACAGTCCTCCTGTCTTCCAAACATTTTTATTCTTTTCATAAACGCTAGATGGTGCTGTTTACCTTTACAATGATGAGTCAGTCTGAAGTTCCAGAAAGTTCTTTTAAGAACTGATCCTTATTTGTTTAAACAGAATCTGTTTTTTGATTGAAGAAATATATATTTTGAGCAAACTGACAATCTTTAAACGTCTGATATTTAAAACTTCAAATCTGATAAAAAAAATCCAGACATAGAACAGAGTCTCACCCCGCCCGGTCAGGTGTGACATCACACTAGTGTTGATGATGTCACACGGTGTCTTGTTGTGTGGCTGTAAACGTTTCCGTACAACATTCCGGAGTCTGTAGTGAAACGTAACGTAAACGGTAATAATCTGCTAATCCCAGTTAATCTGGATAATCTGAGACCGTCGACCGAGACCCGTTTAACCACAAACATCACGACAACGTAAACATCTGATGATTGAAGAAGCTGTTGACAATCGTTCAGAATGAAATTAACTCATTTTTAAAAGTACAGATGTGGTTCTGACCCACAGCTGGTTCTTCATGGTCTCAAATAGGACAATCACTGGACCAGAGGAACTGAGGCAGAACCTTGACAAGGTCCCTGACGAGGACTCCTCAGGATCCTCTGTTTTTGTGGGTTACAGTAAATACAGAGGAATCGTCCGAAACCTTTGATTACAGTCTACTTGTCTTGGTGGGAAAACGTTAGCATAAACGCTAGCTGAGTATAGAACCGATAACAAGCCAAAGATGTACAAGCCCAGAGTTAAAGGTTCTCAGAATTCATCTCCGAGTCTCTGTTGTCATCAGTGTGTGTAGCTTTAGCTTCAGCGGTTTATTAGTTAGCAGCTTCATTAGCGTAGCCACAGTCACACTGGCTCTGTCTGGTTCACCATTTCACCGACAAAAGTTCTGTCTCCCAGTCAAGAAAATAAAATATTTCTTCTCACCAGACGGTGATGAGGTTTCCAAAAGCGGAGGTGTGTGCTCCAATGAGGTGGCCTGTAGGGGGCGGGGCTTTTTTGGAGCCATTTGGGCACCAAGCTCAGAATGTAGAAAAAAAAATTCACCAGGTGCCCCACCCCACTCAGGCAAACCCTGACGCCACCTAAAGGGCTAACAACAAAATTCACTTTTCTGAAAAATAATTAGAAATGTTTCCTTCTTACAGCAGGGGGCGCCAGCAAACAAGGTCGTACTGTAACTAAGAGAGAGATTCTGACGGCGTGACGGGGCAGTGGGGTAAAAAAAAAACAACTAAAGAAGTGGGATTCGCTACATTCGATTAGTACTAACACTCTGGAGGGGTTGGAGGTTTGAAAACTTGTGACGATCTGTAAGGAGTTAAGGGGAGGTGATAAGGAACAAGTGGGTTTCTTAAATGTATTTTTCACTGGGAAAGTGGAGCCAAAAACAGTTGGAAATGAACAAAAACATTTAGGAAAGCACAGGTTAGCATGGATGCTAACTCTCAGATGAATCAGAAACAAAGGAAAATCAGAGATAAAACAACTCGAGCCATTGTTGATGTTTTAACGTGTGATGACGATGTTGGAACTCTCCTACTTACATGTGATTATCCCGAGGGGGGCGCTCTACTAATGTGCTGTGATTATTGTAAACCTTTGACCTTTAACCTGTAAAGAAAACAACTTTTCCTTCTATGAGAAAAAGGACAACAACGTTGTGATGTTCAGTGGCGATTTGTAGAAAAGTGGGCGTGTTCTATGAGCTAGCAGCAGGTCATGTGACCCGAACACTTTGACGATGTCACTGTTTAGTTCTTTCCTTTTCCTGGTGTGAACGATGCTGTTTCCTGTTTCTGCTTCTTCGTACTAACATGACAGATTTGTAACAGCAATAATTTTATTTTGCAGAAGTGGGCGGGGTCTGCTACGTTGTCATGAATTTTATTATATTTAATATATATATTACTAAATGTGACCTGTCGCTGTCTGTGAACTGAAGTAACAAAAAATAAAGAACTGATGTCAGAACTAAAAAAGAGTCTGTTTAAAATTTACAGAATTAACAGATCAATTTGGCTAACTGTTAGCTGTTGTTGCCTCAAATGTACCTTTTTGGCAATTTATTTATATTAATCTTGTGTTAATATTTATTTAGCTGAAGATTCGACTATCATTAAGCTATGCCGAGATAGCTTAGCATAATAGCATGTTAATAATCAGAATTTTAGTTGTTTTCTGGTCATTTTAGGTGAGCCACGAACGATCTTCACCCAAATTCAGGTACTGAAGCGCTGACACCAGAACCTGTGCTACTACAATGCTTCCACAAGAGGGCGACATTGGATCGGAGAAACGGGGTCTTAAGAAACAGCACCGAACGTCAACTTCAGTATGTACTTTGACCAAAACATTTTACTGCCGTAACTGTCCACACACACTGATTGGTTGGTTAAAACATAAACCAGTGGTTTAGGAATAATATTTTGGGAAAGTTATTATATATTATAAAACATTTCTCAGTTTTTTTGGCTTTTTAAAAAAATTACCTTTATTGGTGCCATTTGTTGTTTTTCATTTATTTGGTGTTTTGTTTCTAATTTTAAACTATTTGTTTTCGCTATTTTAGTGCTTATTTTGGATAGTTTTTCTTTATATTCAAACTAATTCCTGCTTTTTTGGCCTTTGTTTAATTGTCCCACGCATCAACCCGATTCCAAACTGAGCCTAAAATTTTGTTATTTTTATAATACAGTATCTTCTCATTTTAGACTCTTTATTTTAATGATTATAATTATTTTAAAACGAAATCTTAGATCTCTACATTATTGTGTATAGTATGGCGCTTACCATATTTGACCAACAGAGGGCAGCGTTTGTATTTCTATCATACATATGAACATATTCACTGATTAATAGGATGTTCTCAAAATAACGCGATTTCTTTTTTTTGCGCAGGCGCCGGTAAAGCAGTAAAGGAGGGCGACCTCTGCTGGAAACATTCTCAAAGACAATCCAGCAGGAAATCATTTCTCAACAGGTCAGTGACGTCGCTTGGTTTTCCTCCTACTTTTGGATTTCGTAGCTAAATTTGAAGCAGTGTTTTCAGGAAATAAAAAAGTTTTAGAAATTAAAACATAAAAATATAAACTGAGTTGGCAACAAATATTAGGTTTTTTTGTTGATTTCCCGTCTGTGGAGTCGTTAATGTGTCTGTGTCGAAGAGAGAGAGAGAGAGAGAGTGTGTGTTTGTGTGCCCACGTGATTGCGCATGTGTGTGTATGCTGACCTGGTTTTTACTGCAGACCAGACCAGCAGCTCAGACTGAACCACAGACTGATGTTTGTTAGATTCTAAAGAGAAATTCAACAAACGCTCAGTTTTTTTTACTTTAACTTCAGTTCAAACAGCAGAGAAATATTATATGATATTTCATATTTTACTTTGGAATTTGTCAATCTGACAGAAAAAAAGATTAGACAAACCTAAACCACAATGCTATATGTGACCAAA